ATAGTTAATTCTAAAGTTATTTAAGTTGCAAAGTAAAAGCAGTCTCAAATTATGAAACTGAAATGTCAGACTCAGAGCTGCTCAAGGAACTTTCCATTAAGCCTTGCTCATGTGTGTAACTAAAGGTATCATGGCATCATCACAATCTCCCTTCCCCCCATTCCCAATTTATTCAGGGTGCAGTTGGGATACATAAGGGTTCAGTTTGGATACATGAAGAATTAAGACTGTGCATACAAGCTTAAATCAATCATTTCAAGGATTTGGATTCTGAACCTAATAAAAGTTGTTTGAATATTTGCAAGACAACTGCTACAAATACATTTTTGCACTCTATCTAAAAACCTGCAGCAAAATATATTCAATCAAACTTACACACATACATGCATACAGACAGAAAAGTTCAACAACTTGTCTTCAAACTGAGCAGCTGTATGAGAAAATTCAGAATAAAATGAGAGCTGAGAATAATGGTTTACAATGAAAGTTCCCTTGTTTCCAACTATGAGACAACTGTAGTTATGTAAGTGGACAAACATGAACAAAAAAACCCCACCCGAGTAGTCACATTTCTACTCCCTTTTGAAGGATCATTCTATAAGCCAATACAGAATGTAAAAGATCATAAATATTTCAAAAGGAAAGCAAACAACAAAATAACCAATCACAGATTGTTAGGATTCCAGTATTTTCAATGTACGTAAAGTAAAATAAAATCTTCTTATAGATGTTGCAAAAAAGTAAAATTAAGCAAAATGCAACCTCAGAAATGAAGAAAGCAATGCTGATATTTATTTAGAAAAGGAACCGTTTTATCTATTTTAGAAAGGGACCGTTTTGGTTAAAACTGCATGACCTTATTCAGCAGCTTAGATTCTTGCATATATTAAGTTATCTATTATTTTCTTTATTTAAATAAGTTTTTGCTAATGTTACTGAAGCAGAGACAATAATGTACAGCAAAGTGTGCTGGCTACAAAACTGTAAAGCCAACTGCTTCTCATAGCTAGAAATCACTAATGATTGAGGACTTTAACTTGCAAATCTTTATTAACAGTCCTGAAGCACCAACCAGATAGAACACCATTCAACTGCCTCCTCCCAAGCAGTAATATCAGATACTGATGCAAATACATATTTATCCCTTGCTCTGAACTTCTCTATGCTGTTTCTCATCACTCAGCCTCCAAACAGGCCACCTGATGGCCTTTTACACCAATTCTAAATTTATTTTTATTAGCATAAGATCATACACTCATGTGATCAATTGTCCTCTGTGGCCATAAAGCAAGGGCAGACAACATATGGCCCGTGGGCTGGGTCCAGTCCACCAGGGCATTTCATCCAGCCCATGGGTGGGTGCCTATCAATTTGCTGCACTTGGCCCCACCCCAGGCTGCTCCTGCTTTGCTCACATGAGGCCGAGCCCCACTCACTCCCACAGGGGCAACGCATGCTGCCCTCCCACCCTCTCCTGCAGGACTACCCTGACCTTGGCCCCAGGTAGGGAAGTGGCGATTGGCAGGGAAACGACAGCAGCAACAGACAGGGAAACTGGTGGCAGTGATGAATGTGCAGAAAGGTAGGTATGTGGCAGGGGAAGGGAGGCAGCGGGGGTGGGAGGAGTGGTGGTGGCAGCAGGCAGGAAGGGAGGACCCATGCTGATGGAGACCCAGGGTGGAGCAGCAGGAGCAAGAAGCCTGGGCCAGCGTCCACCTGGCTCCATCACGCAGGGTTCACATGCAGTTCCCAGGTTCCCTGCCTGAGCCACATGCCTCTGGGGGAGCCCTGCATGATGGAGCCAGAAGCCTGGTCCCACTCACTGTTACACACAGGTCATGGGGAACAGTGAGGAACGGTGAGCTCTGCGCTATGGAACCAGGTCGGCTCCACCCCTCTCCCTGCTGCTCGGACTGAGCCCCATGACCTGCACCACCAGCTTCATCACACAGAGTTCCCCACGGTGACACAGGGCTCAGGCATATGAACCTACCCACCCACACGCATACAAATATGCCCACATACACCCACAGCCTCCCAGAAACCCCATAACTACCTCCCACCACACACACAATGCAAGAGTAAGACTTCATTTTGAGCTATTATGCAATCACCTCTATGTACACTACACAAACACACACAATTCAGGACAAAAATATTTTTTGAAATAAAATTAAAACATCATATTATAGATGGTTATATTTTTTTAGTCTATAATTTGGGGTTTTTTCAGTTCCAAGATGGCAAACACCCTTCCAAAAATGAGTTCTTCCAGGGACAAGAGGAGGGACTTCTGGTCCCAAGATGGCAGCCAGGGCACCTGTCAAGGGGAGGGGCTACCCTCGCAGCCCTAAACAGCTCACCAAAACTCATTAAGTGGCCCTCCATCTGAAATAATTGCCCATACCTGCCACAGAGTAAAGGATAAATATAGGGCTTTAATTGTAACAAGGGAGATTTAAGGTTACTGTAACAGAGCACCATCTCCATAGGTAGCTGTAAAGCCCTCGGAGACAAAAAAATTTACTTTTACCCTGCTCTGCAGACAGTCTGCCCTTCTCACCTGCTCTGTCCTGATGTTAATTGCCATTAAAATACAGGAGGCTGCCCTGGCCTCATCTTAAAGACCACTAGATGTTTGTGGTCAGTGCCTTATCAGCAAAATGCATTACTTTGTTCCACCCCTACACCATGCCCCAAGCCTTCCAGGTGTCATCCTCATTTATGTTTTCTCATTACACACAGAGCCCCACCCTGAGCCCTCAGACCCCTTGGTTTCTCACTCAGTCCTTCCCTGGGCTCCCAGGCCCCTCAGTCTCTCACTTGGTCCCTAGACCCTTTGGTCTCACCCTTTCCTGGCCTCTTGCTGGACTTCTGGACTCATTTGGTCTCCCTTTTCCTGGCCTCTGTGGACCCTTCTATTCCCACTTCTTACTAGCCCTTCTCTGGGCTTCTGCACCCTTCTAGTCCCACTAAAACCTTCTTCCTGTGTTTTTAAAATTGGGGTGTGCTCCCCTAGCCTTTCCCCACAAAGGTGTAGCCCTCAAGGCAGTGGAAGCTGGGGTTTTAGGCCACCCCATACTCACCATTCCCTGGGGTTTGACACCAGTGGTACTTTCTAGGGAAGGGGTGGGCTTTTGGCAAGAGGGCCACTTAATGACTTTTGGTGAGCTGTCATGGGCTGCAATGGTAGCCCTGCCCCTTGACAGGTGTCCCACCCCCTGGTCACCTTCTTGGGAACTGAAGTCCCAACCCCTAACCCCTTACCTTTGTCACTGAAAGTCCCTCCCTTTGCCCCCAAAAGTACTCTTTTGCAGGGGAGAGAGTTTGCCATCTTGGAACTGAAAAGAAAAATCATATACTAAAAGTCAAACATCTATTATAAAGTATTTTAACTTTATTTAAAAAAAATATTTTGCCCTGATTTTTGTGGGTTTGCATAGTGTATATAAAGGTGACAGCATAATAGCTCAAAAATAAAGTCTTACTCTTGTATATTGTGTGGGGGGGAGTGTGTGGGGGTGGTAGGGGAGGTTGTGGGGTTAGTGGAGGAGTATAGCTGCGTGTGGCAGGGAGGGTGTGGTTGGGGAATGGGTGGTTGTGCATGGTGGGATGTGTATGTGGGTGGCTGTGTGAGGTGGGGTGTGG